AAGGCGAGCGGAGTAGGACGTCGGAATACAAAGAGGTTAACGGCGAGGAGTGTGTACGACACGGGGATCGATGGAAAACGGGATGAGGAACGAAAAAAAGCGGCCGATGCGGTGGCCTCAAAGCGCTGAAATTGCAGCGTGCGTCGACAGCTGGGGGAAGAGATTCTGACGCAAATGGCCGTGGGTGAGGCTCAAAACGCATCTACGCATGTTCTGTGAAGAAACAAGCTCGCGTGATCGTGCGCATGGAACGCAAAGAGGAAATAAGTAGCGGGGAACGAACATAGCAAAGGGGGGTGGAATCAAGAGCGGCGTTACACCCTAAAAGAGGGGGTAAACGGCACCGAATGAGAGGATGGAGTTGGTAGCAGTGCGAGCCGGGGAGATGAGGCGCCGAAGGAGAGGAGGGTATGATCGAGAAAGTGACGATAGGGTGGGAAGTGGAAAGAGGAGACGGAAGCTGCGGGAGTAATAAGCACATACCATTGTCCAGGTAGAGCACGCGCACGAGCGCACGACGCCTGCGGGCAGGGCAGCGCGCGGGTAGAGGGCGCATCGACGCCCAAGGCACGTCACGCGGGAGCAGCATCTTGAGCATGGGCACGATCATGAGCAGGAACACGAGCACGTCCCGAACGGCATCCGCCTCAACCAAGCCCCGTGTCGCCGTACCCCTCCCGCTTGCCCCTCCGCGTACAACTCTCTCAGGATACGAACCGATAGCTCAGCGAGGAGCAGCCATGTCCACGCACGTTCTCGCGAGGGGGGCCTCCAACCTCATCCGCAGATCATCCACGCCTGCCCCTCGAAGCGAGCGAGCGGCGCGCGAGCGCACCCATCCACTTCCGGCTGGGCGCAGCACGGCGGCATACACACCACCGCCCACCGCACGGACACACGACCCCAGGCTGGCGTTCCCCGCGTGTAGACGAGAGCATCTGGCACGTAGACGAGGCTCTCGCGCCACCATACAAGCGCGCACACTCGCCCGCATGCACATACCGACTGCCTCACACTCCGTCCCGCGTCCTCCACTGCCCACGCGCGCTCCCGTCGACCAGGCAAGACTCGCCGACGTCGGTGCCCTCTACGACGTGGGCTCCCCTCCCCGCCTCGCCGCGACCAGAATGAGCACGAGCGGCGGGATCAGCAGAAGTAGCATCACGAGCAGGAGGCCGCCGTGACCAGAACGACGAGCACGAGTAGGCGGCGAGACGACGACGCAGGACGATGAGGCGAGACCGTCTTCACGCGTGCGTACGTCCTTGCCCGCCTAGACGGAGCCTTTACCCCTATGTATCGGCGTGGTGAGCGCCCTGCACAAGACACGTGGTACGAGCGGCGGCGGCCGCTCTTCGGGCACCGACGTGCCACTGTGCATATACGGACGCTCCGACACGGACACTCCAGCAGGTCCGCATCCCACCTTGCATGGAGCGCTCGGAGCCCCGCGCCTCGACTCCTCGAGGTACAAAAAAGGTACAAACGAGGATTGAAAAAGGAGGAGTCAAGAGAAAGAAGATCGGGATGAAGAAGGAGGAGCGGCGCAGCGTAGAGATGGGACGTGCGCGCAGAGTAGAGCACGTCCTGTTCATAAAAAGAAAACGTGAATGAAATAAAACAAGATGCGAATTGGGAGCGAGTCCCCGCGCGCAGTAGGGCCCTCCACGAGCGCCGAGCGTGGTCGTGCGCTCGTCGGCGAGGGCTCTACCGTCCGGGCAACCGCATGTACGGGGCACGGAGCCGCGATGGCATGACGGGCATCAAGCATTCTCGGATGAGCCTGGGTCAGCGCTGATCATGAACATGCGCACACGGTCTTCGGCATACAGCGCATGCCACCAGCCATTGACTTGGGAAGCACCCGAGGACGTGAACGCAGTTACAGAATTAGAATTAGAATAACGCGCAATACACCGCCCCAGGGTTATATATGCGGCGCGGTGGAGGCAAAGATGTAGGAGTGTGCGGCTTTTGGGGGGACGGGGCGGGGGAGGTCCGAGCGTCGTCATCGTCATGTGCGGTGGTTGTCGGGACGGTGGCTCGTCGGCAGGAGAGCCCGGAGGAGGCCATGGCGGAAAACGAGACGAGGAAGCTGCTGCGTGTGGCGGTGTTCGGGTGGAGCCGGGGGCGGTGCGGTCAAAGCGGGAGATAATTTGGAGCATGGTTGATGGGAATTCCGCAGTCATTATGAGAATGAACAAAAGAAAAAATTAATGAACGAAAAAAAAGATAAGGTGACACAGCTGATATGCATGCACTGGTGGGGAATCGAACCCCGGTCTGCCTAAGACATTTCCTATCCTCCCATTTAATAGCAGCGTGCACCACGCACCACCGGTGCTTATATCCATCCTTTTATATGCGGCTTCATGCAGCTCCAAATCACACTGTGCACCATTGTGGGATTCGCACCGTCACGATAGTCGAAGTAAACCCAGGTCTGATCTCGGGCCTGCGCGGTACCCGACTCCGATTCTTCAACATCAATGTCCCCACGAGACTTTGCTTTTGGATCTCCCGGCACGGTCTGACGGGTATAAACGACATTATGATCACTTCAGGACTTGGGCAGGAGATGTCAAAACAGCTATTAAAAAAAGATTGACAAATGGCGTCTTATGCACTGGCGGGGAATCGATCCCCGGTCTGCCTGATATGGTGGGCACTTTCAAATTTTAGCGCAGCGTGCACCACGCACCACCGGTGCTTATATCCGCCCTTCTTGACTCTTTTTTATACAGCTCTAAATCACTCAATGGTCAATAGGTCAATTTCTCAAAGTCGAATCAACATCAATGCGGCCCTCCAATATGCTCTCGATGAACCATATACTTTCGACATAATATCTAGTTCCTCGGGACCAGACAAAAATACGCTAAGGAGGCTTAAAAAAAGCTAGAAAAACAGCCCAATCGCTCAGCATGCACCGGCGGGGAATCGAACCCCGGTCTGCCTGAAACTGGGTCGGGACCTCCTGGGTTATTTAATGGCAGCGTGCTCCACGCACCACCGGCGCTCATTCCCTCCCTTCTTTACCAAGCTTTACACCGCCTTGAATTGCATAGGCAAACCATCAATACCATTAGGTTTTCAACATCGAGGATAAATTTTGTCTGTACGATTTGGGCGGCGTCCCATAGACAAACCGATTCCACTTCCCAGCGACATGAAACGGTGTAACTGGCCGATATTAAGTATGTGTCTAGGCAATATGAACATCGAACAACGCCAGGAAAAAAAAAGAGGAGTCATTGACGTTGATGCACTGGTGGGGAATCGAACCCCGGTCTGTCTGAAACTGGTTCATACTCCTTTCTTGGGTATTTAATGGCAGCGTGCACCACGCACCACCTGTGCTCATTTCCATTCTTACATATACAGCTCTAAATCACACTGTGGCCCATTGTACTGTGATTCGCACGATGGTCAATACCATTTTACAGCCGGTTGATTTTCTTCAAGTTGAATCCCTCCCGCCACGTTCTCAATAATCTTTAGGTTCTCGTAGCAAAGTTATTGGAGGGCAGCGTGCACCACGCACCACCGGTGCTTCTTCTCTCTATTCTCACCCGTACTATATACTGCCCGCCATTACACAGTTCGGCAATATAATGGTTGAACCCGCGCCAAAACTTCAACATCGAGGGTAGTATTAAAACACTGGGGTGGTTGGAGGGATTTTCACAGCTTTTTTCGGTCGTTCGCTGTAAAATGAACAAAAATAAAAATAACAATAACAAAAGGGGTTCAATTCTCCAAATGTACCGGTGGGGAGTCGAACCCCTGATATTGATTGGCGCTTGCCCATATTTAACGGTGGCGTGTACCACACCCACCGGTACCTTATTCTCTCCATTCTCACCCATGCTTTACACCGCCCCGATTTGCATATGTAGGACAAATAATCAATACCATCAGATTTCTTTTCAGCATCGAGGACAATTATTTTCTGGCACCATTCGGGTATCCCATCTACAAGCGGATTTGTGCCTCCTAGCAGCCTTGCTGGGAGATATGAATGAAGTGAAAAAAAAAAGACGTTGTCAGCACGCTATGCACCAGTGGGGAATCGAACCCTAGTTGCCTGAACCGTTTCTCTGACCCCATTTAATGGCAGCGTGCACCACGCACCGCCGGTGCTCATTCCCTTCTTCTTTGACCCTGATCTATACGGCTCTAAATCCCTCAATGGCCATTTCCATTACAAACTACAGCCAGTCTAAGGATGTCCGATTTCTTCAACTACATCGAAGTGCCTCCACGACATGTTCCCAATGATTCGTCGATATAATATCTAGGTCCCAATGAAGACGAGACTGCGTTAATTAGGTGTGAAAACCGTTAGGGAAAAAAACGCTGGGAGCCCCACCATGCACCGGCAGGGAATCGAACCCCAGTCTGCCTGACTCGGTTGTCTCACCCGCATTTAGTGGCAGCGTGCACTAGGCACCACCGTGTTCTACACTGCCTTCGATTTCCCAGTCTTCCTGGCCAATATCACGGGTTGGAAAAAATCTATGGCTTGAAGAAAGACATCTCTGGCAGCACCGAAATTTCAACATCAAGGATAATTAGTTCGTGGCACCATTTAGGCATCCCATCTGCAAGCGAATTTGTTCCTCTTATCGGACTTGCTGGGAGATATGAATAAAATCGGGGAGAAAATGAATTCTCCAAGGCGGTGCCATGCACCGGTGGGGAGTCGAACCCCGATATGCCTGGAACTTGGACATTACATTATTTGAATGCAGCGTGCACCATGCACCGCCGGTGCTTATATCCATCCTTCCTGACTCTGATTTATACAGCTCTTAATCACCCAATGGCCAATACCATTACAGTAGGTCCTTTCTTAAACTCGAATCAACATCATCCGTCTTGGCAGTGCCTGATTCTTCAACCACATCAATCTGTCGATATATATGATCCGACAGAAGCTAAAAAAATATGCTCTTGAAAACAGCTAGAAAGAAAATTCCAGTCCTAATACCCCCGAATGCACCGGCGGGGAATCGAACCCCATGCCACCTCAATCATGGCTATTGACATTGTACCCTTCAAATTGAATGACTCTGAGGAATGCACCATGCACCACCGGTGCTTATATCGATCCTTCCTGACCCTCATTTATACAACTCTAAATCACACTGTTTCGCACGATGGCCAAATTAAACTCAGCATACCCAATTTTTCAACATCAATATCAATAATGCCTCCACGAGACCTTGCTTCATTTTGTTATACCGGTAATATGTGCGTACCGAGAAAGACGACACTCCGAACCTGCAGGATTACCGCAGGAGGTGTGTCAATGAAAACAGCTAGAAGGAAAAAATGTGGTACACACACCCCATGCACCGGCGAGGACTCGAACTCCGCTCTTCCCTGATTTAGACGATAAAGATCAAGATTCAAAGACCTACGTAACGGGGACGTGCGCCTTGCACCACCGGTGCTTATTCTCATCCTTCTTCACCAAGATTTATACAGCTCTAATCACCCAATGGTCATTGTGATTTAGAGCATTTCAATATTTCTTTAAATTCAAGTTGAATCTAGTCAACATCAGCCAAAATAGGTCGAGAACTAGGTGTGAAAACAACTAGAAAAAATGATCCAACACCGCCGGATGCACCAGTGGGGAATCGGACCCGGTCTGCCTGAGACCGTCTGAAGAAGGCAAGCGTTATTGAAGGGCAGCGTGCACCACGCAGTAACCATAGCATGATTGTTTAAACAATTTGCGTCTAGACGCAAATTGCCGTTTAAACGCGTGTTTAATCTAAACATGTTTAACGCAAGCGGCACACGGGACCGTGTTTAAACGGGACGGTTTAAACACTATTTAAACCGACAAAAAAGCCAATTATGCACCGTAGTTCGAACTTGCGACCTCAGGTAAGAGGGGTACCGTAAGCAGTAGACGCCATAACCAGCTGGCCCAAAAGGTCCTTTAAATATTATAATTTCGGATGCCCTTTCTATTGGCACGGAGCGATTAGATATGGGCCAAATGGCAATAAAAATATTAATGATGGAGTACAGAGCATTAAATATCAGCTTCCCCTAATAATATATTCAGGCACGGGTGCTTGACTCTTGGATTAAACAGATGCTCAATTTGCTCTTGATGTGTTTATTCCCCCAAAATACAAGTTCTTATATAAAAAGGAGACTCTAGCCATACCGGGCTAGACTCTGCTGTTGGATAAATATCTGTATCTGTGATGCCATGCCAGTTAAATATAACCAGTGCTCACAAAATGAATTGGAGTCACAATTAGTAAGCAGGTCATTGTTTTGCAGGCTTGAGCGATTTGGAAGCAGGTGCAAGTGGACTTGCCGGAAACCAATGACTCAGTGTAGTCATAGACAATATTTCCCAAAGGCATTGTAGATTTGAGTCGCTTCATTCAGCTTTTGAGGGACTGCCACTGGTTGAACATTTCAAGTTTTTCAGTGAAAAAATTGGTGAAAGACTTGAATTTTTTTTCACCTATTTTTACAGTGAAAAAAGGGGTGAAAAATGTAAAACATATTTATCTCTTTCTGACTTGAACCAACAGTAAGGTGAAAAATGTAAAATATCTTTCACATTATTCACCTGCTTTTTCAGTGAAAAAATAGGTGAAAAAAATTTCAAGTCTTTTGCTAAATTTTCCACTGAAAAATTTGAAATGTTCAACCAGTGTGCAACTTGAGTTACATTAGACACAATTCAACTTCAATGTAGCTCAACCACACATAATGCAATATAAAGGCAACGACACAGTCCAGTTGTTCAGAGCGTGTATGAGAACTCTGTGTTCCCAGCACGAAGACCTGGGCATTAGAGGTTGGCGGGTCAAGGTAGTTCGCCGAAATTTGGGAGGGCTCAACTTCTAATGAAGTTGAGGTTGGACTTGCTCAGTACCCGTATGTTGCTCTATGGGACCACTGCGGTTATACCTCTTCCTTCCTTCCATTCTTCTTTCAACAGGAGCCGAACAGTTGTATTACAGCATATTAAGATACTCAGTTTGATGGTTTAACATGTTTGTAGGTAAGTTAGAGAACATTAAAGCTGAAGTAGGGTGGAATTAATGCAGGTCCAACCGCCCAGGTGGTTGAATTTTAGTTGTTGAACTAATTGGCCCCATTATCCTACATCCTTCTCGTCAAACAGCAATAACCACTCCAATGGTGCAACATAAATTCAGGATATTGATTGAAACATGTTCTGAGTTTGAACATCTACCATTAAAGCCCAGAAACATACTCACAATCAGTCAATTGCAAGGTGGGATCACTGTACTGAACAATGGTTTTCCTGTCCTTGAGTCCATACAAATCTGAATCTTCATTTTCAAACAGCAGTGAACAGTTTGAATAGCTGCTTTTTGGGAAGCTTGTGGCTTCTAAAATCACGGCCTCGGCAATATTTTGGTTGAAGCTGAAAGTGGTGTAAACTAAAACAGTGTTCAAGTACCTTCGTCGAAAGCTGGTTTGGTTCAACTGAGGGTGGTGCTCAGCAGGTGTCAATTATTCATACTGTTCTGCCATCTTCCCCAGCACTCAGTAAATTGATTTGCCATGTAATTTATGTTAAAACCCTTCACTAACAGTTACAGTGAGGACCAGTGATTATCCCTTTCAAGATCGGATACAGGGTCTGGCCAAAATTTGAAATGTCGGCCACCAAGGTGAGCGCAAAGTCTGGACAAAACTGAGGACAATGTGACCACCACAGATTAAAAGTCCGGACAAATGGGCCAAGTCACCAGAGGTCAGAGTCAAAGTCCGGACAAAGAGATCTCGGATGACTTCGACCACTGATGGACACAATAATTGCCTAACTTGTATGAACTTGAACAATATAATTCAGTCCAATATGCTGGGTTCCTTGCAGCGTAGAAATTCTTATTTGCTCCCGGTTACCACAACACTGAACTCCTCTATTTGTGATTAGCATTATGGAACCCATTCGAAACGACGACATTCTGCTCTGCACACTTACCTTCCAACTCCATCTTGACTCTTCTTTCAAGACCATGTGAAGATTGGGGTGTGCACTCAGAAGTTATTTGATGACCTGCTCAACGGAATAAAAAGGTCTGGCAACCGCCGTTGCCAGCCCAAGTTCAAGGGAAGTCCAATATCAACATTGGAGAACTTGACGAGGGCGCGGAGGACATAGAGTAATATAATAATTTCTTTCCTACTCATTTGACCTTGCAGGATAAAAATTCAGGTCTGAACACGGACAAAATGTTCAAATGTTTAAAAATCGCACCTGACCTTAAAAGGGATAATCACCGGTCCTTTGCAGTGGGATGTCGGACACTGCGGGCAAACACCATGACGGTCAGATTTTGACTGCCACGGTGACGGTTGGTTCACGGTCAAAACCTTGGTACCTTGTGTCATCTGTGATGCACCATGAGGTTAATGCATGTTTGATCCCATAACTTTTCTCTTTTTTACGTGAAGTGCAAGGCAATAACGCAAAATATCCTTCGCAGCTCTTCTTGTTCATTTTGAGTGCTGATTTCCCTACCCATGCCACCCAAAAAGACAACCAGCCTTTTACCCACTTCTACTTAGTACAGTGGGCCCAGTCTGGAGGGGTTGCTGTTTATTTAAGAACAGTCTTCACCTTTGTTCTTACATGTGTCCGCCTTGTGGCCCATCATCAAATACATAATACAGTAAAAATTCAGCCGCTGGGCGACCGTCCAGCAACCGGCACCGTGGCGGTCAACATTTGACCGTCACGTCATTTTCCCGCAGTGGGAACCAAGCTTGAAGCTCAACGGCAGAGATTTCAGCTTGGATTGCATTGAACTTCTTATTCTCTGGTTATTGAACTCTCAAAACCTGCCAGTGCAGGTCTACTACAGCTATTAGGTTTGTAAGTGGAGCTCCTCAATGGATACTTGTATCAGAACGAAGGCTGTATCCTCTGGCAATTTTCAGGCTATACAAATATTTCGAAATTGCCTGTCTATATTTTGTGCTCGTACATCACAAGGGACCTTCAATTTTGTGATCAAAACACCCGTTAGGTTGCTTCCAGAAGGAACGGTGTGCATTATTTCGGGAAACCCTGGGCCGTGGCTCAGGGGGATATAATCGACTCGAGATTTGCAGGATTCAGGCACTCTGTGTCATACAGGACATCTAAGAAAAGATAAGCCAAGAAGAGTAACAGAATTTTGGAAATAATCATGTCGCAGGGGTGGGCTATAGCACACCAACGGTCCCACTGAATAGGGACAGTCAGAATAGGATTCTGACGGCGATTCTCAGGCGATTCTGATCAGCGATTCTGAGACGATTCTTGATTTAAAAAAGCGTGGGAGAATCTCTGTAAATAAGAATCGCTTCGAATTGCAGAAGCTCCTCTGGAGGAGATTCGACAACGATTCTGAGGCAATTCTCAATTCTTGTCCGCTGATCCCTTCCTTTATAAGACTAAATTAATTCATCTTTATTTTATTTTATTACATTGTCAGATCCTTGCTCGCCATTGCCATTGCCGCCGCCACCACTGGGCTCGGTCTTATCTCTTCTCATGTCTCCCCGGGCTTCTACTACCTCCAGTATAGCAAAGCAAGCTGCTGCCATTGCTGCTGCCAAAACTCGTGAGGAAGAAAAACCTATGTCGCCATGAAAAAAAAAAAAAAAAAGCGAAACAGGAGTCGGCCATCAATGTGGATGATGGTCCCAAGGATGAGGAAGGTCCTGTTGGGGAAAAAGAGGACATAGCGCGCCGGCGCATCATTGCGCGACGCTGCCGCCCTTTACGTTGATTGGCGGGAGGCATGATCAGAGCGCCAAGTGTATCATAAATAATAATCAACACACAACTAGTACTTTACCATGGCCAGAATCGTGGTGGGAATCGCCTTGAAAACGGGACGGTCAGAATTCAGGGCGATTCTGGGTGATTATCACACGATTCTGATCAAAATCATTTACGAGAATCGCCTCAGAATCCCCGTCAGAATCGCCTGAGAATCCCCGTCAAGAATCCTATTCTGACCGTCCCTAATATAATCATGCCTTGAATCAGTGTCGACTATACAGCATAAATATCACGAATGCACACACAGTTCTCTC